CTTGTGATGCTTTTGATTTTGGTATGAGGATAATGCTAGATTAATAGAATTAGTTGGGAAGTGTTTCCTCTTCTATTTTTTTGTAAAAATTTGTGAAGGATTGGTGAATTTCCTTAATTATTGATAAAATTTCTTTGAATTCTATCAAAGAAAAGCCATTTTGTCCTGGGCTTTTTCCTTTGAAGTTTTTTGATTACTAATTTAATCTCTTATAATAAGTCTGTTCAGATTTTCCATTTCTATTTCTTTTTTGTTTAAAATTTTTTTTTGTAGTTGTAGATGGACAGAATACCTTTATTTTAGTTGTTTATTTTCATGTGATATTAAGGATCGAACCCAGTACCTCACACATGCTAGGCAAGTGCTCTGCCACTGAGCTACAGCTACAGCTCTCTATTTCTTCTTGTTTCAATTTGTCTTCCTAGGAATCTGTCCTTTTTACCTAAGTTGTCTAATTTGTTGGCATACCATTGTTCATAGTTGTCCCTTTTTTGTAAGGTTGGTAGTTATAGCCCCTCTTTCATTTTAATCATTTGAGCCTTCTTTCTGTCAGTCTAGCTAAAGGTTTTTAATTTTGTTGACCTTTTCAAAGACTAACTTTTGGTTTTATTTATTTTCTTCATTTTTATATTCTTTATTGACTTCTGCTCTTTTTGGGGGTTGAGGAGGATGGTTTCAGAGATTGAACTCAGGGACACTCAACCACTGAGCCACATCCTCAGCCCTATTTTGTATTTCATTTAGAGACAGTGTTTCACTGAGTTGCTTGGTGCCTCGCTTTTGCTGAGGCTGGCTTTGAACTCCTGCCTCAGACTCCTGAGCCACTGGGATTATAGGCATGTGCCATCTCACTAGGCTTATTCTTTATTATTTCCTTCTGCTTGCTTTGAGTTTCATTCACTCTTATTTTTCTTTTAAGATGGAATTCTAAGTTACTGATTTGAAAAGACTTTCTTTTTAGATTGCAAACTAGAATTGGTGATCATAATCCTTAATTTTTTTTTTAAAGAGAGAGTGAGAGAGGGAGAGGGAGGGGGAGAGAGAGAGAGAGAGAGAGAGAGAGAGAGAGAGAGAAATTTAATATTTATTATTATTTTTTTTAGTTATCAGTGGACACAACATCTTTGTTTGTATGTGGTGCTGAGGATCGAACCCAGGCCGCACGCATGCCAGGAGAGCACGCTACCGCTTGAGCCACATCCCCAGCCCATGCTATTCTTTAAAAAAAAAAAAAAAATTGTAGTTGTAGATGGACAGCATGCCTTTATTTTATTTGTTTATTTTTATGTGGTGCTGAGGATTGAATCCAGTGCTTCATATGTGCAAGACAAGCACTCTGCCACTGAGCTACAGCCCCAGCCCACATTATGCTATTCCTTAAGAAATTAAGAGAATTGAGTGCACAAATAGACTTTTCAAATTTTGTAGTGTTTTACTCATTCTCAGGAGTTCACTGCGTTTAAAGATTTGACTGTTATAACCCTGTGTGCTCAAAACTGCACTATCAGTCTGATAGTTATTTACCATATATGGTAACTCTATGTACTAGAGATGGCCAACTCCCCTATGTTAATTTGAAGTAGAACAGTGCAATTGTTAGTCAGTTGGATAAAGTCCATTCTCAGCATTTTTCTTTTACGTTTTCTCCTCTGGCACTTAGCAATGCATGCTGTAGGTGTCTCCTGTTTTTCTTCATTCCTTAATTTCCTCCCTTAAACAGTTATTTGACCAGAGTCCCTTTTGTTCATTATGCAGACATGTCTTTGCTTTGAACCTAACTGATTTGATGGATGCTACAGTTTCTTATCATAGATTTTTTTTTTCCTGCTCTACATAAAGTTTTGTTTGGTGAACTCAGCAATTTCCCACATTTACTGGGTCACTACTCTGGCATTTGGACATGCTATCATGTTAACTCCCATTTTCTTTTGTAATTTACATATTAGATATATTACTTTATAATCAATGACCTTTATACTATTCTAATTATATATTTACACAAAAATAAACTTATATCTAAAATATTGCTACCTTTTTTCTAAATGTTCAAGTCTTGCCATAGCTTAGTGACTTAAAGGATTGAAAAAATCCTTAGTGACTTAAAGATTGAAAAAAAAAAAAAAGCCACTACAATGATTAGTTGGCTTTTGTAAGTTTATTTAACTTTAAGGACATTATGATTATTTAGACAAAGGAGAAGAAAGTCAAGTGAAAACCTAATAGTTATGTAGTTTCATGAAACTTGGTGTTCAGAGACTGGTCACAGCTGTTTTCCTTCTCTAGGAGGCTGACAGAAAGTGGGCTTTGAATGCAACATAAACATGTTGGGTTAGACAGTTTCTCTACAGTACAAACAATGGATGAGTTGCCCAGAAAATTGCAAAATACTCTTTAATGATCTTTAAAGATATAATGGACACTAATTCATCTGGATATGTTTAGGTGTGGTCCTGGTTAAAGACAAAGGGAAGGATCAGATAACTTCATGCTTTTTCCATTTACCATACCCAATAGATTCTTGATTAAGGTTAAATGAACAAGTTACAATCCAATATCCTAAAAAACAATCTGCCTTCAGGGATCATTATAAAAGCATCTGTTTTGGACTTAAGTCTTCAGTACTTAACCAAATTTACTACATATTGAAAAATTCTAGTGCCTGGGTTTTATAGAGTAGAAGGAAATGGAGTCAAGTGGCCAACACTTGATGTTAAGATCAGTAATGAGATCCTCCTTGCTGTCTTTCTGTTTTGACTTTTCTGGACAGTATCAAATTAGTTTCAGTGGCTTGATTCTAGGCCAAGATTCTGGCAAGCGATTGTAGTCTTATTTTGTTCGGTCTCACTGGATCTGTCTCTCTCTCTCTCTCTCTCATTCTCCCCTTAGGCTGAGGGTAAAAAGCTAGGATTGGTAGGCTGGGTCCAGAACACTGACCGGGGCACAGTACAAGGACAATTGCAAGGTCCCATCTCCAAGGTGCGTCGCATGCAGGAATGGCTTGAGACAAAAGGAAGTCCCAAATCACACATTGACAGAGCAAATTTCAGCAATGAGAAAGTCATCTTGAAGCTGGATTATTCGGAGTTCCAAATTGTGAAATAATGGCCTGAATTTAAATTTTCCAAGAAAAACTCAGTTTTGGTTTTTATTATTAATATAGAACTATTCTGTGTTCAATATTAGAATTAGTTATTTTTGTATCAAATATTTGTAACTGTATGTTACATGTGTGATGGAACACAACTTTACACCATTCTAATAAAACACTTTAGAACCATGTACTTACGTTTTTTGTTTGTTTTTGTTTGTTTTTTTCTTGTGCTGGGGATTGAACTCAGGGCCTTGCACATGCTAAACAAGTACTGTACCACTGAGCTACATCCCCAGCCCTGTTTATGCTACTTTCTTAAATCCTTAGTGAACTGCCTTTGGGGCAAAATGAAATATTTATTCAATAAACATTTGTGGGAGAAATATTTTTGAGATCATTTAAAGAAATCTGAAAGAAAAAGTTAGCAGTTACTTTGAATCATTTCTTTAAGTGTTTTATATGAAGTTTTCTTCAGGAAACTGCATGCCTCATAAGAACAAATGCCACCAGTTTAATTTGTTAGCAGTTTCAATGATGTTTTGGACTAATTACTCTTAGTTTTCTGGAAGTTTTGCTGTCATTCCTTTCCTCTAGGTAAGAGATTCACATAAAGTAATGTTATTGGCTGAATTTGATCCTCCCAAATTCATAGGCTGAAGTCCCATCCCTCCATCTCTGAAAGTGACTATTTGCAAATAGGACTTTTAAAGAAATAATTAAGATTAAGTAGGCGCTAATCCAATCTGACCGGTGTCCTTACAATGAAGAGGAAATTTGGACACAGATATGTGTATGAACAGCCTTTTGAAGCCAGTGCACAAAAGACCATGTGAAGACAGCTATTCACAAAGCAAGGAGAGGCCTCAGAAGAAATCATCCGTGCCAGAACCTCCTGAACTACGAGAAAATAAATTTCTGCTGTTTAAGCCACCCAGTCTGGTATTTTGCTATGGAGCCCTAGCAAACCTAATACATGCAGTAATCAGAATTTTACTTCATCAGCCCCAGAAGTCTGATTTGGTTTGGTTAGTGACTGAATATATTTCCAACAGTAAGTAGGCTTAATATTTTGTCATAAGACCCAATTTTTTAAAAAACAAGGTTTCAATTAAATTGAAACAGCAGAACTGAGGATTGGTTAACAACTCCCAAAGCATTTATTCTCAGTGCTCTTAAAGAGTTCTGCTTTTCGTTAGGAAAGAGGCTGCCATGGCATTGGGAAGATACCAAAAAAATCAGTGAAGGGAGACCTAGTGTCTTATTTGTAAACTGAGAGTTGAGCTAATTTCTCAGTCTGTTCCAACTCTGTAAAATCATTCTAAGATGGAAGGTTCCAGATTTGGTCACTGAATGCTACCATAGGTCAGACACAGTTCCTGGCCGTGGGGTACAGCAGAAATATAACGGACAAAAAAACCAAACTGTCACATCGTGTATATTCTAAGGGGGTGCAGGGGATAAGCAAATAAACGAAATACACTAAATTAAATGGTATGTGCAAAGGAGAAAAAATGAGAAAGGATAAAATAAAATTACCAGAAAGAGGCCGGGCCCAGAGACTAGTTCAAGGCCAACCTGGGCAAATTAGTAAAAACCTGTCTCGGAAAAGAAAGGGCGGCGGGGTGGGGGGCGAGTGGGTGGAAGGGGGATGAAGACGGAGCTAGGGAACTTGGGCTGGGAGTGTGTGAACGCTGGCCGGGAGCGAGAGCTCTCGGGCAGGTAACACCTGTGCGCATGCGTGCTGGGTGTCGTGGGCCGAAGCGCGCTCGCGGCCAGTCCGCTGTGAAGCGCATGCTCGTGAGCTCGCGCGCACTCACTGGAGCCCAGGTGCACGCGGCCGGCGTCCGTGGCGGTTGATATCCGAGGGTTGGTGAAGCGCATTTCGAGGTGATTTGGGGGAAAGCACGTGGCGAAAGGACGATCCCGCGAGCTCTTCTACCTCCAGAAGGGCTGTGGTGGCAGCTGCGGGCCAGCCTTTTGAAGCCAGTGCGCTAGAGCCACGCGAGGCCCCTGCGGCCTTCCGACTGCGCGGGCGCCTTTAGCGGGTGACCGGCGAGTTACGTCGCAGGCGGGGGAAAGGGAGGGGGTGGAGCCTGAGGCCTGCGAGACCCGGCAGGAGAGACCCGGCCTTCGGTCTCCTGGCCTTGGTAACTCCGCACTCGCAGGACTTGGGCTGTTTCTCCAGGAACCTTGGCCCTGGAAGTCCTGGGATGTAATAGGAAATCGTTGCTTTGGGTTTAATCAGAATACTTATTAAACACTCACCCCACCCCACCCCGTATTCTGTCCTCTGCTAAATTAACCATCCGAGGTTCTGCAATTACAAGCCCTGGTTTTACGAGGTTTGGAAAACCAGCCACCTGCAAAGGAGTGCAGCCATGCTTCCCTCTCACTTATGAAGAAGAGTGGGGTCCTTTACTGCTCACAGAACCTTAGTTTTTCCTGCAAGAAAACTTAAAAATCAAAGGCTTATATGCAAAGGAGTTTCTCTGTCTCATCCATTCTGTTCCCAGCCTCTTCCCTGAGGCAACTACTTTTAACCAGTAATAATAACAAGTCATCATAATCTCTTAATGCCTGTCTCTTCTTGATAGAAAAGTTGGACTTTTTTATTTCCTCCCGTGGCTTTACCTTCCTACTTACAATATCTTAGCACTTCATTATAAGTTTTTCTAAAAGTCATGGTTATTGTGTAATGTATGTTACGAAACTAGCTTGGATTTTTTTTTTTCATGAATAATTTCTAGCTAATGTTTCTTAGCTGAATTTAATTTAGGCATCTGTTTTTGGTGAAGTGGTTAGAATTTCGAATACTGCCTTTACGGGTCAACATCAAGTTAATTACGATTTCACTTAAGGACATGTGGGATTTAGAAAGAAGCAATGAAATTATGAATGCCTCTTTGGATGTTAAGTCCATTGCATCAAGCATTAGTTGTGTGATCTGTCTAGAAATAAGAGGGATAATTTTGTTTTGTTTCATAACTTGGTTTAATAAGAGATTCCATTTACCTCAAATGATATTTCTTCATATAATACTTGAGAGAAATGGATAATGCTGTGTAACTCTGAAACTTTGATAGTGTTTTTTTCCCCCAATAGGCATTTATTTCCATTCAGAGAAGGAAACCAGTGCCTGGCATTGTCATCACCTCTACCTGCCATGATCAAGTGCTTGTCAGTTGAAGTACAAGCCAAATTGCGTTCTGGTTTGGCCATAAGCTCTTTAGGCCAATGTGTTGAGGAACTTGTCCTCAACAGTATTGATGCTGAAGCAAAATGTGTGGCCATCAGGGTGAATATGGAAACCTTCCAAGTTCAAGTGATAGACAATGGATTTGGGATGGGGAGTGATGATGTGGACAAGGTGGGAAATCGTTATTTCACTAGTAAATGCAACTCGGTAGAGGACTTGGAGAACCCAAGGTTTTATGGTTTCCGAGGGGAGGCCTTGGCAAGCATAGCTGACATGGCCAGTGCTGTGGAAATTTCATCCAAGAAAAACAGGACAATGAAAACTTTTGTGAAACTGTTTCAGAATGGAAAAGCCCTAAAAGCTTGTGAAGCTGATTTGACTAGACCAAGTGCGGGGACAACCATAACGGTTCATAACCTATTTTACCAGTTACCCGTGAGGAGGAAATGCATGGATCCTAGACTGGAGTTTGAGAAAGTCAGACAGAGGGTAGAAGCTCTCTCACTCATGCACCCTTCTGTTTCTTTCTCTTTGAGAAATGATGTTTCTGGTTCTATGATTCTTCAACTCCCTAAAAGCAAAGACATATGCTCCCGGTTTTGTCAAATTTATGGTTTAGGCAAGTCCCAAAAGTTAAGAGAAATACATTTTAAATACAAAGAGTTTGAGTTGAGTGGGTATATCAGCTCTGAAGCACATTACAATAAGAATATGCAGTTCTTGTTTGTGAACAGAAGACTGGTTTTAAGGACAAAGTTGCATAAACTTATCGACTTTTTATTAAGAAAAGAAAGTACTATATGTAAGCCAAAAAATGGCTCTGCCAGTAGGCAGATGAATTCAAGTCCTCGGCATCGGTCTACCCCAGAACTCCACGGGATATATATCATCAACGTGCAGTGCCAGTTCTGTGAGTATGACGTGTGCATGGAGCCAGCAAAAACTCTGATTGAGTTTCAGAATTGGGATACTCTCTTGGTTTGCATTCAGGAAGGAGTGAAAATGTTTTTAAAGCAAGAAAAATTATTTGTGGAATTATCAGGTGAGGACATTAAAGAATTCAGTGAAGATAATGATTTTAATTTATTTGGTGCTACTCTTCAGAAACATGTGTCCTTAGATGAGAAGCATGACCAGGGCGGTTTCCAGGAAGCGTGTAATAATATTTTGGATTCTTATGAAATGTTTAATTTGCAGTCAAAAGCTGTGAAAAGAAAGTCTACTATAGAAAATATAAACACACAGAATTCTGGGGATTCAGAAGCTATTAGAAGAAAGACAAATGGCTCATTTTTGTACACTTATGAATCAGATGGCCCCAGTCATAGTAATATGACAGAGTTATCATTATACAACAAAGACAGCTGTTGCTTAGAATCAAGGATGTTAGAACAAGAGACAGTTGAAATATCAGAATTAAGAGAAAGTGAGAAACATAAAAAATCTTGCTTGGAACATAACTCTTTAGAAAGTCCATATGGAATCAGTTCAGAAGTGTTTTCAAGCCCTTTTCAGATACAACATCACTTTGAGGAGAGTGGAGTAGATTTAGAAGTACAGAAAGAAAGTACAACTGCTAGTGGCATGGCTGCCAACATCTTGAAAAACAAAAGAATTCAGAATCAACTTGAGAGATTTGAAGGTGCTACTGAAATGGTATGCCAGTCTCTGCCTTTTGAGACAGGATTATTGAGCTTACATAGTGCTCAGAGAGAAAAAGAGCCCAGTGATTGTGGAAGAATAAATGTTTTTAGGTATGGACAAGTAAAATTGTGTTCCACTGGCTTTATAACTCATGTCCTTCAAAATGAGCAAACTAAATCAACTGAAGCAGAACATTCATTTAAAAATTATGTACGGCCTGGGCCTGCAAGTGCCCAAGAAACATTTGAAAGTAGAACATGTCATTCATTTGAGACTCCAGACATCAAAGGTTTAACCAGCATTCTAAGTAAAGAATCTGCTCAACTGCTGAGCAAAAATTTTTGCAGACAAAATACAAGTTATGGGCTAGAGAACAAACCTATAGCAAAATGCAAAAATGTTACTGTTTTTCAGGAAGGTGATAAAGAATCACACACAGGTTGCTTATTGCCCAATATATCCTCTTCTTTCCCTTGGTGTAGACAAGTTTCAAATGGTATTAAGAAAACAGATAAATTGATTGGTTCCTCCAAACCTGTAGGCCCAAAGAAGCTAAGCTTGACTTCACAACTAGGATCTTTAGAGAAGTTTAAAAGGCACTATGGAAAAATTAAAAATCCTGTAGATATAGAAGTGGAAGAAAATAATATTGAAGTTATTACCAATCTTGGTCCTCAAGTCAAACCTGACACTCTACTGAAAGACAAGAACCACTTAGAAAATTCTGACGTCTGTAAAATCACTACTACAAATTGTATCAACTCAAATGGTAGTTGTCAACCAGTAAGTCACATCCTGTGCTCAGAGAAGTTTCCACTTTCCAAAGAAGATTGTTTGGAACAACAGATGCCTTATTTGGAAGAAAGTCCTATAACTCTAATGGAGTTATCTCACTTGAACAGAAAACCTTCGGATGTTGAGAAGTCACCTGAATCACTGGCCTCTAAATTATCCAGACTGAAGAGCTCTGAAAAAGAGGCTCAAACAATGGAGATTAGGAATCATTTTATTGAACTTCCAAATTCAGATTCCAGCAGGGAAGACAGTAACTTGTACAGTGGGTTAAACCTAGATTTTTGTAAGTTGTTTAAAAATGAAACTGAAAAAACAGACAGCAGCATCCTCCCAAGGTCAGATACTGTCATTGAGGTTATTGAGGATAATTCCCTCAATGAAGACAGTGAACTGCATTCAGGCAACAACAAAATGGAGAACACTGCAAAACCAGATACTTCTTTGGAGTTACCTTGTAGTGATTCTAAAATTATCGCTCAAGATTCAGATGTTCTCATCAGAGCTTCAGAGCAACAGATAGGAAGTTCTGATTCTCCCAGTGGAATTTTAATGAATCAGATAGAAGATACCATAGCCAACCAAAATGGAATTTGTTCCTGGAGTGAGAAGTCTAAAGGAAAAGCTTGTTCTGAAAACGAAGAGTCAAACACATGTTCTTTGGATTGGCAGCAGCATTTTGATGAAGCCCTGGGAAGAATGGTTTATATTAACAAAGTCACTGGACTTAGCACATTCATTGCTCCTGCTAAGGACATTCGGACTGCTTGTACTAAAGACCTGACAACTGTAGCTGTGGATGTCATACTTGGGAATGGTAAGTAGTGTTCACTGGCATGAAGTACTTTTGAAGATGGGAATAATGGCCAGGAGTAAGGGAATTGTCCAAAGAGATGATCTCAGCAGACAGAGCTCTCAAAGACTGATTATAAAACGTGTTTTATGGTATACAAAAATTCTCCAACACTAAATACAGAAATACAATGAAGGGTTCACCTAGGCTGTAAGTGTATGTGTACACATCTATGAGTGTGTGTATGTGTAAGAGGAAGGGCAAAACAGCCCATTTTAATGAAAATGGAACTATTTAATAGCCTAGAAGATCCACAGTGTTTCCCTATCCCATTTCCCCCCTTCCCATAACTCCTCTAGAAACTTTTCTTTAAAGAAATGAAAGTTTCTCTCTGTGGCTTCCAGGCTAAGGGTAGAATGATTTTGTAATCATCCTCCATTTTCCAATAAAACCTATGGCTCAGTGCAGTACTATTTTATGAACTTTTCCCCCCAGAAATTAGCACTTAACCATAAATTTTCAAAATATAGGCTGAATATATACTGTCATAACCATACTTTTCGAGTGTACTTTATTATAATGCATATGGTAATCCACTTGATCTGTTTTTGGTATAAGAAGATGTTATTCTGGAGCATAATAATGTGACTTTTAGATCTTTATGAGGTTACATTAGAGCTTGGACTAGAGCTCTAGGTTCTCAGGTCTCAGTCAACAAAGTGACATTGTTTTGGCAATGTGTTGAGAGCCAGATGTTGGAGATGGTAAACCTGCTTTCTGTCTGACTATACTCTTGGCTTTGCACTAGGAGGATTAAGTGTTAAATGTGCATCCGTATTATGAGTCTTGAATGCTGCAAAAGAATGGATATTATATGAATGTAAATGGAAATTAGCTTATAATTTTTCTTTATGATGATTATATCAAGCAGGGGCCTCTGGCTTTATATAAGTTAAATAAGACCTTTATTTTTCCTTGTTTTACAATTTTTTCCTTTCGAAAAAAGATAACTTTGGGTAGTTTCAAAGTATTCAATAAGAGGAGAAAATGCTTCTCTTTCAGTATTGTTCCGAAGACTATCAAGTTGCTCTTAAGGCAATTTTATGTAGTTTTCAATCTAGGTCATTTTAGACCTGATTTTCACAGAATGCTTATCAGAAGTAAATTTAAGGCACCAACACCTCATCTTCCTGAAATGCAACTGCTTCTGATATGGTGCCAAGAGATAGTTGGGTTACATTCAACTGCAGATGATTATTGCCAAAACAAAAGGGAAAGTCTTAGCTGCCATACTCAACATAAACATTTTCTCCTGCTAATTAAATCTAGATGTTTAAACACTTCAATCCACTTAACTTTTTGGAATAGTTTATCTTTTAACGAACTTTTTGAAGGTCATGTTAACTGATAGTTTCCTAATGAAGAATATCTTTGTATAGAAACAAGTTCATAACAAGATGATTCCTCAGCATCCTCCACTCACGTGGAATGTTACCTTTCTGGAAATAGTTTGTGCACAGTGGTGCATTAGGACATGGTTAAACCAAAAATAAAAATGTTACATGAGATAATTTCTGTTGAACTGGGGATTGAACCCAGGAGCCCTCAACCATTGAGCCCATATCCCCAGACCTTTTTTATATTCTGTTTAGAGACAGGGTTTCACTAAATTGCTGAGGCTGGCTTTGAACTTTGATTCTTCTGCCTTCACCTCCTGAATCTCTGAGATTACAGGCATGTACCACCATGCCCACAAGAAATTATTAAGAGGTAAATTTTATTGTGTAGAAGAGAGGATACTTTATAAAGGTATTTTTTTTTGGGGGGGAACCACGTGTTGAACTCAGAGATCTTAATCACTGAGCTACATCCCCAACGCTTTTTATTTTTTATTTTGAGACAGGGTCTTGCTACTTTGCTTAGGGCCTTGCTAAATTGCTGAGGCTGTCTTTAAATTTCTGACCCTCCACCCTCAGCCTCCTTAATTGCTGGGATTATAGATGTGCGGCCACCATACCTGGCAACATTGTAGGATAATTAGCAACATTTCTGGCCTTCATCTGCTAGATGCCAGAAGTACCCTTCACTCAAGTTGTGACAATGAAAAAATGTCTCAGACATTGCTGAGTACCCCCACCCTATGCAAAATTGTCTCCCATTGAGAATCACTGTGACTTTAGTGTCTTCACTCTGTCTGGTATAGATGAATAATTGGACTAAACATTAATGTGGATGCCTAAATTAGCAGATTAATTTTATTAAAGAACTTCTGATTCTCAAGCTAGTGTTTACTAGTCTGCTTTATGTCTTCATTCAGTTTGTAGAGAAAGAAATTTATGTGATTTAATTTTTAATAGTTTATTTGTATGTTGAGTTTAAATTTCTAGGTTTTTCTTTTTGATATTTAGGGTCTCAGTACAGATGTCATCCTTTTAGAAGCGACCTTGTTCTTCCTTTCCTTCCAAGAGCTCGGGAAGAGAGGACTGTGCTGAGGCAGAATAACAGAGGTGGGAACACTACATTTCTGGGACACCTCTTATATACCTACTACCTAATGCAAAAAACAAAGCAGGGTTGCATTATTAAGCCTGATCAGTGCCAGCTGTGTCTTACTGGAGCCAGAAACTCCCTGCAGCCCTATTTAACAGCAGAACTAAGTAATTCAGTGCATGCATTTAGATCAGAAATTACTTTTCCAGACTTGAGGTCAGTACTGGGTGATTATGCATAGTCTGTGGTGTCTTGTGATTGAGGAAATGTTTGTTATTTTTAAAGATTGGAGTTGCACTCCAAGTTATAGTAGTTTGATCTAAGCAAAACTTTTTGGAAAAAGTTACAGACATTTTTGTTTGTTTGTTTGTTTCTAAAAATAAAAAGTATATTTTTACCTAAAGGCAGTGAGGCTACTATTTTGAACCATAGTTTCTTCTGGACTTGTATTCTGAAATCTTGCTAACAGTTTGGAAAAAATCTATAATGTCAGAAGTTACAGTCACAACTCTAGTTTTAAAAGTAACATACCAAACAACTTAGAGATATAGTGTAGCAAACTCTGAACATTTGTAGAATATTGGAATATTATGTCTGATCCTTAGTCTTGAGGCTGCAACCAAACAGGACAGACTATTCATTCTTTTTTCCTAAGCTTCATGATGCCAGCTTCATCTGTCTCCTTTGTCTTAGATGCTGTGGATGATGCTGTTGGTAGTGAATCCCTTCAGTCTTTGTTTTCAGAATGGGACAATCCAGTGTTTGCCCGTTACCCAGAGGTAGGTCTGTAGCAATTTTTATTTGCTGTTATTTTAATTTGAATTTCATTTAAGCTGGGTATGGGCATGAATAGCTATACTAATTTGTAATTATGAATGGAAACTAGGCATGTTTGCAAATGATTTATTTGGAAATTAATTTTTAACGTAGAGAGGAGGAATCATCATTTTGGAAGCTCAGGCAATTTGAATTAAATGTGTATAATCAGTGTACAACAAGTGAATGCATTTACCCTGACCTACAGCTTTAGTAAAATATTCAGAGTGATGATAATAAAAGCATCATTAGATAAAGCAGTGAATCTTCTATTGGACAACAGTTCATTGTTGGACCTGGGTACATGTTCTGTTCTCACTGCATTATCACAGAATGTTCTATGTGTGTTAATGAGGGTGTATAATAGGTGAACATTTGACTACTGATTCTTCAGTTAAGCTATCTTTAAGGACTTGATCATGGAGCATAGACAAAGTGTTCTGAAACAATATTGGTTTTTGTCAGTTATTTTGTTTATGAACAAAAAAAATGTTAAGGGAAAACTGGAGAATGAAATTGACCAAATTATATTGTTATATAATGTGATTTAAAATGTGATGATGAATTCCATTATTGTGTATACTTACAATGCACCAATAAAAATTGTTAGTTAAGACTAATTCTTGGGACATTTTTAATCTATAAATTCCCTGAGTTCAACCCACCTTTTTTAGATTATTTGAAAATGAATGCTTTTAAAGGATTTTGAAATCTGGTAAAACAGACATAAAAAATCAAATTTATGTTTGTAGATATAAAAAATTAAAATTTAAATAATGGTTTTGATGTCTCCCTAGGTTGCTGTTGATGTAAGCAGTGGCCAAGCTGAGAGCTTAGCAGTTAAAATTCACAACATCTTATATCCCTATCGTTTCACCAAAGAAATGATTCATTCAATGCAGGTAAAAATTGACTTTGTAATCAAACTACACTAGCTCTTGTGAAATTGGAATAATTTAATAATTGAGACCACATTTGCCAAAGCACTTGGGGCTTATTTTGTTTGTTAATTTTTATTTGTTTTTTGTTCTGGGGCTTTTACCCAAGGGTGCTTAGCCACTGAGCCATATCCCCCAGCTCTTTTAATTTTTTTAATTTTGAGACAGGGTCTCTCTAAGTTGCTTAAGACCTTGTTAAATTACTAAGGCTAGCTTCGAACTTGCAATCCTGTTGCCTTAGCCTCCTGGAGTCTGGAGATTACAGGTGTGCATTACCACACCCAGCTGTTTGTTAAGTTTTATTGTACCTTTTATCATCAGAAGTAAAAGTAAGGGATTAATTATAATTTCAAAGAAAGAAATGTCCTTAATAGTGTAAACAAGTTTGAAGGTAATGAATTGTAGATTCAGGCTTACAGTTTCAAGGAATATTAACACATTTCTATAGAGAATTATATGTAGATTTTGTGTGTGTGTGTATGTATCTGTATTTTAGGAAGGGTAACTGGGGATTGAACCAAAAGGTACTTTATCACTGAACTAAGTCCTCATCAGTCCCCCCTACCCCACTCTTTTATTAAGACTGGATCTCACTAAATTGCTTAGGGCCTCACTAAATTGCTGATGCTGGCCTTTAACTTGGGATCCTTCTGCCTCAGCCTCCCAAGTCATGCAACACTGGGCCTGGCTTGATTTTTATATTAATTGATAGGTCAACAAATATCAATAAATAATTTGTAAATCATTACTGTCCTTAACTAGGCAATAATGCATTTTTTAAAAAATGACCCTCTATTGTGTGGGGCTACAAAGACTTAGGGAACCCCAGACTGATGAGTTCCATTAACCAAAGGGACCCCTGCTTTTGCTTTTCTGTTTTGCTCTCTATGGCTCTCTCAGCCTCCTTGATTTCCAGTTTGGAAACAAATTAGGAAAGCAGATAGAAGTAGGGGAACTCCTAAGGTGGCAATGACCTGGTATTGAAGCAAGGGAGCAGTTGGTTATGAAACAGACCCTGGACAGTGGAATAGGCTAAGGGATTTTGGCGGGGGGTGCCTCAGATATCTGGACAGAGAGGAGCCATCAAGGTCTGAAGCTATCAGGGACTTTTTACTGTTTTAATAAAGTAACTCTTCCAGAATGGTTTTTCTTGCTTTCACATAAACTTTAAAAAGTTATTTTAGTTCTATTTGTTAGCAATCTGTGGTTATATTAATAATACTCTGGTCATATTACTTATTACTAAGAATCACTCTATTGGGAAATTTTCTCATCTACTCTAAAGAGTTATTAGTCTGTTTCTCTTACATCCTTTTTTTTTTTTTTTTTTTTTTTGTCTTTCTTTGTGGTCTCCCTCTTTTCATATCTTATGATCACTCTACTTGTCCATTCTCTCTCTCTCCTGGTACTGGGGATGGAACCCAGGGTTGTGCAAATGCTAAGCTAGCTCTTGGAGCTACATCCCCAGCTTAATTTGTTCATATTTTTTACCTTTCTTAAGGATTCCCTCAGGTTTGGCAGCACCTTATCTCAGTCTTAGATATGAATGTTATAATGTAAACTACTCTAAAATACAGTTTTGTGTCCTATGCAGATGAGCCTTTGTTAATTTTTATTTAGCATTGTACCATTTCTTTGAATGTATGGCAGGTTCTTCAGCAAGTGGATAACAAGTTTATTGCCTGTTTAATGAGCACTAAGACTGAAGAGAATGGCAAAGCAGGTAAGAATGGAGGTTAGCCTCAATTAATAAGCCAGCTAGTTTTCTGATAACTTCTTTTTTTTCACATTACTTTATTAGGTGATAACTTCTTTTAAGGTAATTTTTAGTATACAATGCAATTTCAATGATTTGGATAGATGAAGAAAAACCCTCTAAATTAAGAATATTATGAGGGGGCTGGGGAGGTGGCTCAAGCGGTAGCGCGCTCGCCTAGCATGCGTGCGGCCCGGGTTCGATCCTCAGCAGCACCA